TGTGTGTGTGGCCAGCTCAGCCCACCAGGGGGCGGGCTGGCTGGCATGTGGTGCTGGGGGATTGAACCGCGGTCCCTTTGCTTTGCTAAGCTTGTTCTAAGTAGGTGCTTTAGACCACTGAGCCATCTCACCAGCCCTCCTATTTCTATTTTAGATTCACTTTTTTTTTTTGGGGGGGGGCAGTGGAGATTAAACTTGTGTCCCTGCCTCCTAGATTTATTTTTTATTTTTATTTTTGGCAGAACCGGGAATTGAACTCAGGCCCTTGAGCTTGCCAGGGAAGCGCTTATTCTAACTGAGCCATCTCCCTGGCCCTCTCTCCCACTTGCTTTGACTGTACTCATCCCATTGTTCTTGCCACTTTCTGAAGCGCTTCTAGAAGTCCTTGTTTGTCAGTGTCTTTATGAGGTGTGGTTTAAAAAAAAAAAAAAAAATAGGTGAACGTTGCTCCTGATGCCCCTAACAGAAAGGCAGGCTTGTGAGAGTGTTGTAGTGTGTCCTCGTCCACCTAATTCACCAGATCCAGCACTGGCTCTTCCCCAAAGTCAAAATGAACATGAAAAGTAAATGTTTTGAATCAATTCAGGACATCAAACTGGGCATGGTGGTAACCTGCCTATAATCCCGGCACTTGAGAGGCTGAGGCAGGAGGATCTCTGAGAGTTTGAGCCCAGCCTGGGCTACATAATGAGCCCTTTCCAAAAAGAAAGAAAGAGGGCCAGCCAAATAACTCAGTGGATTAAAGCACCTTCAAGCAGCCGCAGGGGCTGGGCGTTCGATCCTCAGGCCTTCCGTGCCAGCCCCACCCCTGGGGCGTGCTGAGACAGCAATTACAAGCGCGCACCTATAATCCCAGCTCTTGGGAGGCGGAAAACAGGTGGATCACTATGAGTCCGATCTAGTAGTGAGATCCTGAACACCCTGTAGACCCTTCCCTAAAAAATACAAAATAGTAATAATAAAGACATAACAAAAAGAAAAAAAGGACATGGAGGCAGACAGGACAGCACTACTAAGGACACAAATGAGGACTTCCAGATGGGCGGGGCTGGCTGGCATGTGGTGCCGGGGGTTTGAACCATGGTCCCTTTGCGTTGCTAAGCTTGTTCTAAGTAGGTGCTTTAGACCACTGAGCCATCTCACCAGCCCGGGAAGTGTTTTGAGAGGGTTCACGGCACGTG